TGTAGACCTTACAGTAAGGTTATGGTTTTATACATGTAAAAGTTATGAATGCCTTGTAACTGTGTTGTAGACCTTACTGTAAGGTTATGGTTTTATACATGTAAGAGTTATGAATGCCTTGTAACTGTGTTGTAGACCTTACAGTAAGGTTATGGTTTTATACATGTAAGAGTTATGAATGCCTTGTAACTGTGTTGTAGACCTTACAGTAAGGTTATGGTTTTATACATGTAAGAGTTATGGATGCCTTGTAACTGTGTTGTAGACCTTACAGTAAGGTTATGGTTTTATACATGTAAGAGTTATGGATGCCTTGTAACTGTGTTGTAGACCTTACAGTAAGGTTATGGTTTTATACATGTAAGAGTTATGGATGCCTTGTAACTGTGTTGTAGACCTTACAGTAAGGTTATGGTTTTATACATGTAAGAGTTATGGATGCCTTGTAACTGTGTTGTAGACCTTACAGTAAGGTTATGGTTTTATACATGTAAGAGTTATGGATGCCTTGTAACTGTGTTGTAGACCTTACAGTAAGGTTATGGTTTTATACATGTAAGAGTTATGGATGCCTTGTAACTGTGTTGTAGACCTTACAGTAAGGTTATGGTTTTATACATGTAAGAGTTATGGATGCCTTGTAACTGTGTTGTAGACCTTACAGTAAGGTTATGGTTTTATACATGTAAGAGTTATGGATGCCTTGTAACTGTGTTGTAGACCTTACAGTAAGGTTATGGTTTTATACATGTAAGAGTTATGGATGCCTTGTAACTGTGTTGTAGACCTTACAGTAAGGTTATGGTTTTATACATGTAAGAGTTATGGATGCCTTGTAACTGTGTTGTAGACCTTACAGTAAGGTTATGGTTTTATACATGTAAGAGTTATGGATGCCTTGTAACTGTGTTGTAGACCTTACAGTAAGGTTATGGTTTTATACATGTAAGAGTTATGGATGCCTTGTAACTGTGTTGTAGACCTTACAGTAAGGTTATGGTTTTATACATGTAAGAGTTATGGATGCCTTGTAACTGTGTTGTAGACCTTACAGTAAGGTTATGGTTTTATACATGTAAGAGTTATGGATGCCTTGTAACTGTGTTGTAGACCTTACAGTAAGGTTATGGTTTTATACATGTAAGAGTTATGGATGCCTTGTAACTGTGTTGTAGACCTTACAGTAAGGTTATGGTTTTATACATGTAAGAGTTATGGATGCCTTGTAACTGTGTTGTAGACCTTACAGTAAGGTTATGGTTTTATACATGTAAGAGTTATGGATGCCTTGTAACTGTGTTGTAGACCTTACAGTAAGGTTATGGTTTTATACATGTAAGAGTTATGGATGCCTTGTAACTGTGTTGTAGACCTTACAGTAAGGTTATGGTTTTATACATGTAAGAGTTATGGATGCCTTGTAACTGTGTTGTAGACCTTACAGTAAGGTTATGGTTTTATACATGTAAGAGTTATGGATGCCTTGTAACTGTGTTGTAGACCTTACAGTAAGGTTATGGTTTTATACATGTAAGAGTTATGGATGCCTTGTAACTGTGTTGTAGACCTTACAGTAAGGTTATGGTTTTATACATGTAAGAGTTATGGATGCCTTGTAACTGTGTTGTAGGTCTAACTGTTCACTTGTTACTGTTCTTAGGTCTTATAGATGCTGCCAAGAGAGGTGACCTGTCAAAGGTAAGTGGATCAGGTTTTAGCAGAGAATAGTGTTACTCCCGGCAGTTTATTGAGTGTGATCAGTGTGTAGCTCACGTGATCTCATAAACAGATAGCCGGTCAAACAAACTTATCACATTCACACCAACCACAACTTGTTTACAGTTACAAACAAACAAAATCTGACTGTTAAGTTTTGCTTCACAATTTGATGACTTTAAAAGACTTCTTCTCTTAAAATGTATTGTTTACACATCAAGTCAATGGTAACAGCTTTATGAATAGACCACTTTGTTGTCACATAGGCTTAGGTAATTAGTGAGTCTATCATCTCCTTTACACACAATCAGATGTTGGTGTTTCTCTGATGTTTGTCAACAAGATGTTGATGTTGTTTCTCTGATGTTTGTCAACATGATGCTGAATTTTCTCTGATGTTTGTCAACAATATGTTGATGTTTCTCTGATGTT